GCATTCAAACCTTTACAGGTTTACAGGTTTAATGTAAGCTTCTCGAAGCTTTAGAGTGCCTACATCCAACTGATAAATGTTTCAGAGTGTCATCAGCAGGTTGCAACAGCGATACAGAACACTGGAAGAGTCACAGAAAGATGTACAAGTAGACGTCCTTTGGCCACATCCAATAAAGATGACCACTACATTGTTAACAATGCCCCGAGGAACTGGATGATGAATGCCACTCAACTCAAGGCACATTTAAGGGAGGTGAGAGGCACCCAAGTGTCACGTCAGACCATTCGAAACCGTTTGCATCAGCGTGGTCTGCATGCTAGATGACTTTTGAGGGTACCTGACCACACTACCAGGCACAGGCATCATCGTCTTGCATGGGCCAGAGAGCATTTTCGCTGGACGAGGGACCAGTGGGCCTCAGTGCTGTTCTCTGATGAAATTCGATTCACGTTGAGCGGAAATTATGGCCGCCAACAATGTTTGAGACGACAAGGAGAGCGCTATGCGCCAGCCCCTGTTCTCACCAGACAAGCTTTTGGTGGTTGGCGGTGTTTCAGTTTGGGCATGTCTACACGTTGTGAATTGGTACAGTGACACGCCCATACTACCTGAATAACATTATTAATCTAGTGATTGTGCCCCTACAATGAACAACACGGGCCTAATTTCATCTTCATGGACGGCAATCCTCCAGCCCATCGAGATCGCATTATCAGGGAAAGTCTGTTGGAGACTGGTGTTGCTCAAATGGAATGGCTTGCACTTTCCCCAGACCTGAGCCCTCTTGAAAACCTGTGGGATCAGCTGAGTCGCCGTGTAGAGGCTCGAAACACCCCCCCAACCTCAGTGACCTTTGGGCTAGAAGAGCGGGATGCCATTCCTCAGCAGACAATAAGTCGATTTGTGAATAGCATGAGACGTCGTCGTCAAGCTGTAATTGATGCTCAAAGTGGATCCTGACTCAAACCACGTGATGCTTGTACCTGACCACACTACCAGGCACAGGCATCATCGTCTTGCATGGGCCAGAGAGCATTTTCGCTGGACGAGGGACCAGTGGGCCTCAGTGCTGTTCTCTGATGAAATTCGATTCACGTTGAGCGGAAATTATGGCCGCCAACAATGTTTGAGACGACAAGGAGAGCGCTATGCGCCAGCCCCTGTTCTCACCAGACAAGCTTTTGGTGGTTGGCGGTGTTTCAGTTTGGGCATGTCTACACGTTGTGAATTGGTACAGTGACACGCCCATACTACCTGAATAACATTATTAATCTAGTGATTGTGCCCCTACAATGAACAACACGGGCCTAATTTCATCTTCATGGACGGCAATCCTCCAGCCCATCGAGATCGCATTATCAGGGAAAGTCTGTTGGAGACTGGTGTTGCTCAAATGGAATGGCTTGCACTTTCCCCAGACCTGAGCCCTCTTGAAAACCTGTGGGATCAGCTGAGTCGCCGTGTAGAGGCTCGAAACACCCCCCCAACCTCAGTGACCTTTGGGCTAGAAGAGCGGGATGCCATTCCTCAGCAGACAATAAGTCGATTTGTGAATAGCATGAGACGTCGTCGTCAAGCTGTAATTGATGCTCAAAGGCACATGACGAGTTATTGAGACATTGACATTTTTTATTGTGCTGTACCCATCGTTAACGTTGGTCTCAATGAATTGTTTGAAACCTGCATCCTTCTATTTAAATGTCCGATTTTCATGATGTTTTACTGTTATGTGAATTTTTTACATTGCCCATCAATTTCACCTAAGCCCAAATATCCCTAACTTTTTGTGAGTGGTGTAATAATTACTTTACCTCCTTACCTGCGGACCCAATGGCAGACTTTGAACCTTCACTGCTTGCACACCAACTCTCAGTTGCCGTTTCAAATGCATCAGATTCAATGTATTTGAATTTATTATTTTATTTATTATTTGCCCTGAAATGAATGGACCACGCTCGGTTCATGTATTCTCCCTGCAATACCTGCTCCTTTAGTCACGCTGGTGTTTCAGTGGCCTGCTTGTGATTTTCTTTGTTTTTTCCTTCATTTGTTCTCCCACTGGACCACATGCACAGCCCCGCACTCCCCACCTCTTTTCCGTCACAGAATTTAAGCGCTGGCGCGGAGTGAAAACAAGCCTCGCTTATGTGATTCTACTCAACGGGATGGGCTCCCCCCCTTCGTCTTCTTCTCCTCCTTCTCCCCTTCCTTCACTTTTTTCGTCAAGAACTTGTTTGGCCACATACCTAAAATAGCTTCTCTGACGTGTACAGTCCTGTTATGGAATGTTACTGTGGCTGTCCAGAGTTCTCTGCGGCAGGAAGTTATGCAAACATAACTCTGCTGAGCACAGCCTTGTGATTAGGGTCCTGAAGGATTTGGTTCTACACTTTCAATTTTTTTTTTTTTTTTTTTTTGCCCCTTCTGTGCAGACTGGCAGAATTCCTTGTGGCCTCGAACAGGGCGACCTTTTATCCTTTGGTTCCTAGAGTCTCTTTCATGGTTTTACGTCACAACGTGTACACAGGCAACGGCCGAGTTCTGTCTTTACCCTTATGTATGTGGAACCTCATCGTTCAAATCATGCAGAATGGAAGGAACAACACATGATCCAATGCGTAACACTTCATGTGACAAAGTCAGTGTTACGTGACATGCATATGAATTGGATACCAAACGATTCCTGAGTTTTACAGGCCTGTACGTTTATGAGTTGAGAGACTAAACAGAAGTCAAGACTTTTTGAAGGCAAAACAAAAAAGGGAGAATCTGCAATAGTCAATTCAGTGATCTGACTTCAAGTTACGTGAGCATGCTTTTCACTTGCTGAAGACAAAACATAAGGCAACAAGACCCACAAAATCAAACTCTTGCCCCCCAGAAATGGAGGTAGTCTGCTTTCATTCCTAAATCAAATCTGGAATTAAATCTGAATGTCTACAATACAATCTCATGTTGATTGTTCAATTTTACATTATTTGTGGGTTGTATGAAAAGCAAAATGGTTGTCCGGGAGGACTTAAATGCCTGTTACTTGGCATCTTTCTGACGAGGAAAAACCTGTGCCTCACATTTTCCGCCTTTTCCCTACATCCCTCCAAACCTGAATGCCTCCAAACCTGAATGTCGCCCTCCCCTTTAGCTTCCAGCCGCTCCGGAGAGGCTTTGCTTGTTTTGTCTCCTGGTGTGGGGGGTATGGCCCTGTGTTGAGCTCCAAGCAGCAGCACTATTTAAGTGGCTTCCTTGTTTTGTCTGAGCCCCCCCCCACCCCCCATACGTCAACGTGTCATCGCTAAAGCAATCTCTTATTGTTTAGAAAAGATTGTTCCCCCTTCCCCCCAAAACAAATTTGACGAAATGTGTGCATTATTTCATGAAAATATTAGTTATCGCAATGATGGGAATGCTGACTAGACTTGAACATTTGTGTGCCTATCTTGTTACAGTCATTCTGGATAATGGCAGATTAGACTAAATCCCTTTGCTGACGTTTATGCCCATGCCTCGTCTGACGCAGGATAATGTGGCTGTCAACCCCCCCAAAATTGTTAAACATTCCTCTCAGTGACACAATCAGCCTAATTTCTGCAACCGAATGATGGTCAGGAAACTGCTGATCCGGAGTTGCCGCTGTACTTTTGGTACGCGTCACAGCCCTTGCATTGTGAAGCGCGCATAGTCGAGCTGCATTGAATGGCACCACCCTGCTCCCTCAGTCATCAAAAGGTACTTGCTTGCTTCACATGCTTAAACGGGAAACCCTGTGACCATGGTGGGAACTGAAGCTGTCTTTTGAATGCAATTCTACTCAAAGTTTTTCCACTTGCTAAACATTTTTGCCTTATTTTATGAATCCTCACACTCTGGCATCTGACCGCAGACATCAAGTACTTGAGGCACAGTAGCAGAATTAAACACTGAAGCCAGAGCTATTCTGATACAGTGTTCATAAAATGCCCTTGTGACGTTGTTCAGAATCCCCCAGCCCTTTGAAAGTAATATTTGAAAAAAAGAATGGCTTTGTTTTTAGTTAGTTCTTCCCTTTGTTGATCAAATACCCAGACTCTGGCTGTAGAAACTGAGCGTTTTCACCATTATTCCCTGCCAGAAGTGGGCGAGGAAATGTCCGACCCAGCAATTCTATGTCAGGTAATTTTGCTTTGCCAGGCCAGCAGTGTGAAATTTAAGGCACTCCGCTGATTTACATCGCACTCTGCCGCTGACCTGATGTAATTATCTGACGTTTTTCTCTGTAAATGTGTCCTCACAGTTGGGGCAATCGCACAAGACCAATAACTGCAGATTATTGTACGGTGTGAAAGAAACTGGTCATCTCCAAACGACATGACTATTGCCTCTCCTGGATAGAATAGAATACAAAAACATAAATCATGTTCGTCATCGGTTCCTTCATAAAATGATCTGGCACTTTGAACATGTAGCTTGAGCATGTGTTGTTGAAATATTGATAGCACATATGTTTTGAAAGGGTATTTTTAAACGGTATGTTTTCATAATTGTTCTTCAAATCTGTTGAAGTGTGTCTGTCACGCCTTAGCCACAAAAGGAAAAGACGGGGCCACGTGTGACAACAGTTGAGAACCAATGATAAGTGGGGTAAAAACTAGATTTGGACGTATTTAAAACTTCAGGCAATGAGAATGGGCAGAATTGGAACAGCATTGTATGTCAAACTACATGTATAAGAAAGGCAGCACTGTATATTGACAGACGTGAATGTTACTGCATCAGTAGTTGGTAGCATTGTATGTAGCAAACAAATACATGCATCAATTCAAAAGTCTATTTAGCATATGATACCGTATGCAGTTGCGTGAAGACGGCAATCACATGTAATGAAGCAGTGTTGTCTAGCATCTTTCAGCAGAGACTTATCACATTTAAGCAAGCTATTGTTTTTGCCGTTGACCCTCTTCCTTCATCATGTCGCTCTGCATGCATGCTTTGCCTCCTAAGCCCCCTCTTCTGCCTCGCAGGACGGCCTAGATGCGCTGGTGTACGACCTGGACTTTCCTGCCCTAAGGAAAAACAAGAGCATTGACAACTTCTTGAATAGATGTGAGTAGTATTCCATCTCGAGTCCATCGGCGCTTAACAGGCATGTATGACGCGTTTTAGCCTCAGAAATTGAAGGCTGTTTTGGGGTCACCGCCTCGATGCAAGCTTGGACACAATAGGCGTCTGCTGCTTAGTGTGCCCAACAAAGGGGCTTTCATTAATGGCCGGTGAGGTGACCCACATGATGCCTAATGCTATGGCTTGTTGTTGTTTTTTTTGTTGTTTTTTTTTGTGCCATCAAACACAGGAAACATCGGGAATGACTATTTTCATATGATATTAGCAGCAACCTTTGGTAAACCACGTAATTCTTAGCATGTTATCACAATATTCCATTATTTACTAGGGTGGTTACTGTATTCTGAAACTCCAAAAATGTTACCTTTTTTTTTTCCATAATCAGTAGAGAACCAATTGTCCATGTCAAGCAAGAAAATTCACGGGGAAAAATGTGGAATGTTTCATGAAAAGCTAGTAATTTTATGAGAATACAAAATTCTTTTTTCCATTATTTTTTTGAGTACCGTATTTTCCGCACTAAAAGACGCACTGCATTTTGAGGCGCACCGTCAATGAATGGCTATATTTAAATTTTTTTCATACATTAGACCAGGGGTGTCAAACTCATTTCACATGGTGGGCCACATACGGCCTCGGTAGATGTCAAGTGGGCCGGACCATTAAAATGATACAATACTTTGCTATAAATAACCAAAACAATATGTCTTTCCTTTGTTTTGGTATAAAGAAGCACAAGAACATTAGGAAAATGTTGAAATTTAATGAACATATCTTTTACAAAACATTTCATGAAGCACCTTACATTTCCTTCGACAAATGTGCAATTTACTTTTATCATTCACATATATGCATTGCAACTGATCCCACTGATTGTACAAACTTTAACAAGTAATTGGAATTGAAAAATATAGTAATGCACTTTAAGATTAAACAAGATTCATAAAGAAAGCAAGTTTTAAAGCATTTACACATGCATATAAAATCTAAATGTAATCCCTGCCT